TGCTGCTGCTGCTGCTGCTGCTGCTGATGATGATGATGATGATGATGATATAAAGACGAAATCGGGGAATGGCCACCCCATGGGATCTGTGGGATTCCTTGATAGTTTTCCATCTTAGACCTTTAACAAAAATGACAATATTGTGGTGATTTATTATAAATCTTGCTATAAGAATTATAAATATTTGTAGAATTTCAGTATCCTTGTTATAGATTTAATGATATTGATTTGAATGATAATAAATGTAATACATAAAATACGATAAGTATTCTTATTAACAATTTTTTTCGTCTTAAGCTCAATATTACGGTGCATGAAAGATAATAATATTGTAGTAAAACAAAAACTCACATGGAATGGTGAATGGTAGCATTATTAGGATTGGACCTACTGCTGGCAGCATTGTTAACTGACGGAGGAGAGGAAGGTGCTCCTGGAGCTCGCTTAGCGTGTTTCCTACGCCTTGGTCTGTATTTGTAATTCGGATGTTCTTGCATGTGTATCACCCTGAGTCTTTCAGCTTCCTCAACGTAGGGCCTTCTGTCCTGTGGCGTCAGCCCTCGCCATTTTTTTCCTATAAGTGATAGCAACGTTAGAAAAACAACAATAAAATATACAGAAATGTATATATTTTATGTATATACATACATTTTATATGCATACAAATATATATATCACAAATGATATTATAAATATATTTATATATGAATTGTAAAAATTGCAAATTTAATTATATTTTATATTCCTCAATTAAATAATATCTATATTAACTAATATGACATTATATCATTATTTTTCATATTTGGAAAGAAAACAAAATCCACAGATCTTACCATTACTATTGTGCCATTAGAAAGCAGCGTAAACATACAAAGACAGAAGAAACGCTTTATTATAATAATTGCTATTTTTGAATTATATATAAATTATATGTAATGTAACCCAAACATTTTAACTCGAATACTTGAATTATTTATATTTTTCTATAAAATCATATCTGAAAGTATATACACACAATAATAAGTAATATCTTTATGTTAGTTATAATATTATTCTTATTGATTTTAAGCACCACTCGAACATTCACTCATCAGATAACAAGTAAAAAAGAACCATCTCAACATAGATATGTACTTTGCAAATTCGATTAAATTCATTCTTCTTATAGTCTTTCTATCAGTCGAACCCCGAAGAAACTGAAAAAGTGTAGCCCAGAAACGTGTAGACATTAAAGTATTGTCGAGGCATATCTCGTTCCAGTGTACAATGTGTATACTGTGTTTGATGGTAATGTTTAAGACAAGTATGTATTACGTATATATTCGAGCCACTCTCGAAGCTTTTTCCTTAAAGTGATCGTAAACATGAATGCGTCAACCAGCGTCAGCTCGCGTCAACTCGCGTCAACTCATTTTCTTATCACTAATAATAATCGAACACGAATAATCGACAGCAAATCGCGCACGCGCCTTTAACCGAAGAAAAATTTTTTCTTCGAAAGTCCAAGTTCTACCGTTCGCTCACTGATAAAATCGCATACATTGCGAGAATACCAAAAGAAATTGGCTACGTTAACCATTCATTTAATATCGAGTTAGTTCATTAGCAAGACAAATATACAGGCTTATACAATAAAATCGAATATTCGAAGTACCCGACTTTATTATTCTTCGTCAGGAAGAAGTAGGCAAAAAAAAAAGAAGAACAGCTCGTAACGATTTTCGACATTAACAACTTTTCTTGTAAACCTTGACAAAAATCAACTTTACCTTATTGTTAGTAAATCCATATAGTATAGTATTTATATTAATTATATTTTTGTGATATCTACATGTTGTATATATTACATTAATTGCATACATGATAACTACATATGGTATACACACACTTTATCTATAGATTGTATTATATATAGAGAGGGAGAGTGAGAGAGAGAGAGAGAGAGAAAGAGATTAAAGTGTATGGTTGGTTTTTGTAAGGATGTACGAACTATACAAGAGTACATAAACGCATGGGGGCGTAGATATGGGTGCGCCCGTGCCTTTACCCAGCCACAAGGCACGAGAAGCATTATTTCATATTTCATTTTGTAGATTTCAAGTGTGGAGGAACAGCTAAACCCGCAGGACCTCGGAAAGGATAGAAGTTGAATGAGAGAGAGGGAAGAAGGAGGAAAGATATAAAAAAAACAAGATGATCTTTTTGAAAGACCTTTTTGTGCTCGCCTTCCCCCTCTTATCTTTTATTTTTTTATTATTTATTTTTTTAATTTATATATATTTGTTATAGATTCCATTGTTTATTTCTTCATCTATTTCGATTCGTTCTATTCATTTTGTTTGCTTCCCTCGTTTCTTATTATAATCTTTTTCAATTGGATTATGATTCGTATAAATTTCCAGCCTCGTATGCACCTAACTCTAATCTAATTTTTTCAATTTCACAAGACTCCATAAGTCCAACAAGAAATAAGCAGTAAGCTTGGAAAATCTTGTTCAAGTTCTCAACCAACCAAGTTAACTCAATTTAATATTCTTGAGTTTGCTTCACAGTAAGGATAAATACGCGTGGTGATTCATCATCACACCCGCGCAATCGCGTCCCACCGTGACGTCCTCGTTAAGTATTCTAATGACCAGCGTGTACCTTTAATTTACCTCAAGCTCTGTCCCTCAAAGACCGGCTATTCCTCCCCTCCGAATGACTCCATTAATTTGGATTTTTGTCAGAATTAGGTGTGGAAAAAGGGAAAAAAGAGGCAGGTACATATAACATGGAATTATTATATGTTTATTTCTCTCTCTTTCTCTTTCTTATCATCTATCTAATTAAAAATTCAAAGCAAATTCAAGCACATATCTACCGGTAATTTACTTGACTGTTCACCTCTAATTGATTAAATTTTATTTTGATTTTCTTCTGATTTTTGAGAGAAAATTGGAGAAAAGTTCGCAAATGTTATTAATGAAAATATTTAAGAGATTGTCTTATGTAAGAAACTCACAATAAAACTTATATTAGCCCGAAACTTGACTCGACGCAAACATTTCCTTCTACCGATCGATAGTTTGTTGTTAAAACATATTTTCAGATAAAGCTCGTCTCTATTGTTTCCTTCGAATAAAACGTAACAAGAGAGAGAGAGAGAGAGAGAGAGAGAGAGAGAGAGAGAGAGAGAGAGAGAGATACGTTCGCGTCTCGGTCCCTTAGTATTAGCGGGAGTATTGCTCGGCCCGTGCCTTTCATCTCCCTTATCCAGACACCGACCCGTAGGCGTAGAAGAATCATTATCAATGTTATGATCGGATACCGTCGGCCACGAAACTCAATATTCGCTTCACTCAGTTGATAAAGTTACTCGCCTAAACAACGCGGAAAACAACGAGACAAATAGTGAGTGAGTAAGAGGGAGAGAAGGAAAGAGAGAAAAAACTTGATGAGAGAAAGAAAGAGGGGAAGGATGGGTACAGAGTTTACCGGACGAATGCAAGAGACCCAATCTCTCGACTCAATAATAATATTGTATCTTGCTTCGTAGGTGGTCCATGATATTAGTATTATCAGAGTATGATCGAAAATTTATAAACTTTGCCTGATAAATTATGTAATATACATACATAAGTAATACACACAGTTAATTTTATATTCTATAAGAGAACATTTGATTCCGTAGTGTAAAGTAGAATTTATCGATCGTTACTTTTAGTCCGATTGATTCCTTTTTCCTGGATCTATAAAAGTAGTCCTCAAGTATTGCGATTAGTTTGAATTTTATATGCAAATGTATTAAAAAATTGCAAAATATTGCGTGTGTGATTATCAAAATAATTCATAAAATATTCCCTACAAAGGGAAATATTGTACGAGTACGTTCGGGAACGAGCGGATTCTAATTAAACAGCGATCGTCTATTATTTTTTTTCTACATGCGTGTGCGTGTGCGTGTGCGTATGTGTGTACGTGCGTGCGCCATGTGATCCGAATGCACGTATTGTGTTTATTTCAGAGATTAGCGTGTGTGTATTATTAGCTAACTGAAGTGTATAATATTATTTATTTTTCTATTTTGTGTAGCTATTTAGAACTATTTTTAAACTTTAATCCTACAATATTTCCGAATTATTTGATTGAACTTCCCCCATATCGAATACAGATATACTTTTCTAGACAATAAAAAAGGAAGCTGAAGTGCTTAGGATAGGTAAAAGGGTCCGCCCAATAAGAAAATAGGTGTGCGCAGGCGGTCAAGCTCGATGAAGTTACGAGGAGCGAAAGATAAGAAAGTAAGAAGAGAGAAGAGAAGAGGTCGAAAGCAAGAAAGACAAGAAACGAGCGGGGCCCACATCGGTGGGCTTCTTGTGGGACCACATCGCGTACCCCGCCCAACCTGGGTCGCCCACTGTCACCATTAATAATACGTCTCCCGTCTCGTGATGTATCTCATCTCCGTTGGCGATGCCAACCATTTCGTCTCTCTCTCTCTCTCTCTCTCTCTCTCTCTCTCTCTCTCACTCCCTATAAATGTATGCATTTGTATAAGAGAGAAAGAGAGAGACTTACATACATTTGGACTTTATAGAGAGATTTGTATACTTTATATTGTATACAAATATATATACATATACATATACATATATACGCATGTAAGAGTAGAACATATATTGTACATATGTACATATTTATATACCTAAAGAAGATACGAATGTAGAAAATCTGGGAGGGGTCGATGCAGGATACGAGCCATGTAAGATGAGGATGAAGAGGAGGAAAAGTCAGGGCCATGAAAAAAAAAGAGGAAGATGAGGATAAGAACGATGATGACACGAGAGCAAACGATGATTAAATTCTATCGCATCGATCATGTAACTTGTGAACTAAATAAGAATAATATAATATTGTGTTTATGTAGAGTTTTAAATTCATATCTAAAGTTTGACGATTTAACCCGGGAACATTCACAGTATATAATATATATAAATATTAAATATATATACATAAGTATATTATATAATATAATTAATGGTAACTATCATTTTTTCTCTTAATTAGCGCTGTGTTTTGTGATGATAATTTAAATATTATATTATTCATGCTTTCGACTAATTCTTTTAAAAATCGAATAAACTCATTCCTTTCGATGTGTTAAAAATAATAAAAATAAGAAAAAGCAAGAAAGAAGTTTGAGGCATCTTAAGAAGACGTTAGTACACTTTTTGTGATACTCCTCATCACTGCTGTCCTTCCTTGTTGTTGTCATTGGAACAAAAAAAGAGGAATAAGGGGAGTGAGGAGGGATAGGTGGATCGGAAGGTACGGTAAGGGTGCGGCCAGGCTCCGTTCTCGACTCCACCTCATTACCCGGCATTCTATGCAGAGAGCGCTCGCTTATGGCTTATTATTGCCTTTGCCTTTGCCTTTGCCTTTGCCTTTGTGTGTGAT